AAAAAAAAAAAAATTGAAATAGTTAAATTGAGCATTTCCTGACTTCTCTCTCAGCGTTAAATTTTCTGCCGTTTCCGTTGGAAACCTTAAAGCTGCCATGGAGCACCACTCCTGTCCATGGGGTGAGGGACGTGGTGGTGGCCCCTGGAATCCTCCACCACCTAGAGTGTGGAGCTGGCTGTCCTAGGAAGTGGGACCCTGCCATAGGCTCACAGAGTCGCGCTTTTGGATGCTGCTGTGAACACAGACGGATACCAAGCCTACTGTGGGCCTCTAAGAGCAGCGAGTGAGGCCAGTATGAAATGTCGGCATGGTGGCATGCAGCTGGAGTGCTCCAGTTCGGTAGGCTGAGGCAGAGGATGGCATGCTCAAGCCTCACTTAGGCAACGGAGCGACTTAGTGAGACCCTAACTCAAAATGCTAAAGAAGGGCTGGGATGTGTAGCTACTTGCAAAGGCTCTGGGCTCAATCCCCAGGACTGAGGGAAAAAGCCATTCTTTTTACTGCAACAGAGTAGTATGTGCATCCAGAGTTAGTAGCTGAAGCAGTAGGGTGGGCTGGTGGTGCCAGAGCCCCTTCAGATGTAAGGCGTGGCTGACGCGGGGCTGCTGGCCTGAGGCCCTGGTCCCGGGATTCCTGGCTGGCTGAGCAGGTGCTGTGCATTTTCACCTGAGAACCCAGAAGCCCTGTGCTTGGAGTGAGCGGCTGCTGAGCAGTGGGTGCTAAGGGCATCGTGACAGTAGCCCGTGGCCAGTGTTGCTCCCGACCCAGCGTGTCAGACCGCAGGGCCGCCCTCTTCGTGGGATAACCGCTCCCAGCTCCCCTTAATTCGGAGGACAGCTCAACGCAAGACTGCTGCGCTGCAGTGAATCCAGGCAGTCTGTAAATTTTGCAGAGAAATTTTGTGTGTAATGAAGAGTGTGTTCCTGGGACTCTTGTAGAAAGCAGTCATGTCATCTACCCGCTCCCGAGGCAAGTGTGCCAAGGACCCGGCAGCCTCCAGCAGTCTCCACTTTGGTCCTGCAGGAGGTCGCTGTGCAGTGGCAGCACCAGGCCCTGCTCTGTTGGCTGCAGTAGATTGGGAAAATGCAGGGCAGGGATGTTTTGGGCGGACACTGAGTCCAGAGCAGGGGTTGGGGATCAGGGCTGCCTCCGCTGAGAACACAGCAGGTATAGCAACACCTCTTAAGTAGTAATACCTCGTAGACACTGCTGTGGTACAGGCAGCACACGTGGCGTTTTCCGTAGCAGTTAATATTTATTGATTTCTCTCGGTGTTGGCGTGGTGCACACACCTGTCATCCCGGCACTCCGGAGGCTGAGGCTGGAGGATCATAATGGGTCGGAGGCCAGCCTGGGCTACTTAAGGAGAATAGTTACTCTAAAGTACATAGCAAGATCCTGTCCAAAAAAAAAAGGATTCTCTTGGTACCACTGCACGGCATGTTGTGATGAATTCCTGCTCACAGAAACCAAACGATCCCTGTCACAGTTGAGGGTACCAATGGCTCAGGGAACACGCCAGGGCCAAGTGCTAGGAGGTGGGCCAGTTGGGGTTCCGCTTTAGGGCTGCAGTCACCACAGCTGGATAAATCCTTCAGGCTGTGGCCTGAGCCGCGTGGGAGTAGTCATTCATTTCCTCACAACCGCCTTCGAGGCCCCTTCCCAGAGTATCAGCTCAGATCCTGCTGCCTTGCCCTGATGTGCTCTGCCCAGGAGCCTGGCAGGTGACAGAGTTGGGGTCTCCCTGGCACCCTCCTGTGCCATTTGGCCAACCCCAGTTTGCTGTTAACTTTTCGGTGGTTTGTTACACTAAGTGCACACTTGGCCTTCTCTCTCCCTCTCCTGGCTTTGTTTCAGGGAACATCATTAAGAACGAAGCTTTGTACAGAGCCAGGATCCATCCCCTCTCCCTCGGCTCACTCCTGAGTCCCTCATGTCTGGAGACCCTCGT